TTTTTTTTCCCCCTTTCTCTATCCCAATTCTTTTTCATAGGGAAGAATGATTCACACACGCCATTTTCCCATACAAACCACTCTGATTGAACTGGGGGTGTGGGTATCACTTGAACCAAATGCTCTTAACAATAACGATGATTTAGTTTGAGAGAATACTCTCAATATCTCACTCCATTTCACCACCTTCCCATAAAAGCCATGATTGATAACAATTTTTTTTTTTTGTGAAATATTTTGTGGACTTGTGAATGCTTAGTGAAAGCATCATCAAGACGAAATTAAAGATCCTCCAAAACAAAGCAAAGCAAGCCCCAGGGTCATTTTCAGACAAAAATATCAATTTTTATTATTTAATTTCAAAAATTGGAGGAAATAAAGAAAGAAAGGAAAAGCTGTTTTTGTCAAGAAAAGCAATTATTGACATGGTGGTGGACCCCACCACTGCTTAGTCTCAAATGGCTGCTGTTATCCTTAGCGCACGCTCCCCACCACATGGCCACATGTTTACTTGAAGGGATGCCATAAAATAAATATAGAAAAGATTTCCAAATTATATACAGAAATTTAATTTATTATACTTTTACAAGAATCAAATTCAAAAAAAACTACTTATTCTTAAGGACCTTGGGTGTCAAAAATCAAAATAGATACATACACTGTAAATTCAAGTGTTAAATACTTGGATTTAAGGCCTGTTTGGATGCCTCTCAAAACCATGGTTTGGGTGAGATGTCACCCAAACATCATCAATTTTGGGCCAATAATATGAAATCATGGTTTGGGCCAAAACCATGATTTTCAGGAGAAATGAATTTATTCTGCTTTTGACTCAAATTGGAGAGTATGATTGTGCCTGTCAGAGTAGATCTCAACAATAATATGACTTTAACATCCTCAATTATTTTTTATAAACGTATTTAATCTTATATCTTATAAATATATATACATATTAATTATTTATTAATTACATTATCTTATGTATTATTAATTATGTTGGTAAAAAAAAATATATCATTGACAATTTTATTCCTTCAAATTAAAAAATTTCATAAAATCTATCTTTTATGTAATTATTATATTAACTTATGCTTTTTTTTAGTAATTTGTATATATAAAAAGTGCTTTTGATAACAACTATCCAAACACTCTCACTTCTCAGAATCACTTTTTCACAAAATCTATTCTCCAAAAGCTATTCTCCAAACCATGGTTTGGTTTCATCCAAGGGGAAGCTGTAAAAGTCCTTCTCAGAAGCATTTTTTCGCAAATCGAAACAAACTCGTCCACATATTTATTTTGTATACAGTAAAATCACTTTTAAAACTATAGTTTTGTTTCCATCCAAACACTCAAGATAGTTTTTAAGAATAAATACTTTTTGAATTTGATCTCTGTGAATAATTTTTTAACATCAAACAAAATATTTTTTTAAGAATATTGTGATATGTACTGTTCATTGTGAAGCGCAAACTACAAGCACATGGGTTGCAAATAGTATAAAAGTATCATTTCCATAAGAATTAAAACAAAAATCAGTTAATTATAGCACTTGTGTTCTTAACTAAGTTGAATGAAATCATTTAAAAAAATTGTAACTTAAAATTTAGTTGTTCCAAAATGATAAAATAACTAAAATTACAAATTTGATTTCAAAACAATTGGAACTTATGATTATTTCTCCCCTTTGTATCTCATGAAACCTAGCTAAATCCCTCTCAACTGACATTTAAATGACATTATGTGTCATTATGTGTCTGTTAGCAGTTCTAAATTATTTGATTAAACTTTCTAAAGTCAAAACTAAATTTTAATTGTCCATAAAATGTTCTATCTCTTGTAACATTTAATAAAGATCATTTGAAGTATTAACCTTAATTTGACAACATTAGGTTAGTAAGTATATTTCTATGTTACCAATAAACCCTCCAACATTAGGTTAGTAACTATATTTTTATGTTACCAATAAACTCTCCATTCAACTATTAAATTTCACGTCAAGTACAAATATATTTAAGTTCTACATCCCAATTAGCTTTCTCAAGTCAAATTAAGATAAATGAAACATTTAGAGTGGTAGCCAATCACTAAGGAGCATTAAGCCCAAAATAAATTCAACACATAAATTCAATAAATGCTAAAACAGAGGAATAAATGAGTTTCAATTCATATAAAAGTTCAAAATAATCCTAGAACAAGTGGTTTTTAGCTACTCATAATTGAGGGAAAAAAACAAGAAATATATAGAATCCCCTTGTCCATATCAAAGAGTAAGAAGGAAAAGGAAAAGAAGTTCAGAAAAACCAACAAAAGAAGCTTGAATCTTTTCGATCTTCGAATCTCAAGTTCTAAGATCTTTAATAATCCCAAAACCTAACTCCACTTTGTTCCAAAAATGTGTTTTCAGTTGCTCTCTTTGTTTCTCAATCAAACACGGCGTCCAAAATGCTAAAAATCATATCCTTTGAGTTTTTTATGTCAGAAAAATGAATTTGTGTTTTGAGTTTTGTCAAGGTGCTGTGGTACTCTTATCATAATGTCGAGGTACCAGAAGCATTGTATTTTCTTTGCACAAAGCACAGTGGCACTTCTGCTTTGGTGTCATGGCACCAATAACATTGCTTTCTTTCCTTAAAATAGAGTATCGTAGCACCTCGCACGTATGTCTTGGCATTAATTGGTCTTCCCAACTTGACTTTCTTACTCATTAACTCTTTCTTACTTGCTTATAATGTTCATATGTTTATTTGCACCTAGCAATAATAAGCATTTGTAAGTGAAGAAATTGTAAGATTCAATCATGAAATTTTTTTTGAGTAAAAAGGAAAATATTTTTACTTTTGCTCTTATGACTCTCCAATCAAATATATTCAAAATAGATTTTAAATCAATAAGATTTGGAGAGTCAGCAGTTGCAAGAATTAGAATCTTTATATGATTATATTATTTGATAAGAGTACTTATAACATTTAAAAAGATTAACAACATGTATGAGGTTGCAAAAGATCACTCTAAGTATGCCAAAATGTCCCAACACAATTAAAAAAAATAGTTCCATCTAAAAATGGGAAAAAAAATTCAATTTTTGAATACTTTTGACATTAGTATGGTTGGTCATGAGAAAATGGAAGATATGATGATAAAATCATTTATAATTGTTTTTTAAGATACAAAGGCAAGCCAAAACTCAGATGAGAAAGCAAGAACTTCCCAAGACAAGAACTAATTAACAGTTCATTTTTAACCAGCAAGCTATTGATTGATGTGACAAGCAGTTTCACCTCATGAAAATGAGAACACAGGTTCAAATTTTGAAAAGTGTACTTATTGAAAGAAGCAAAAACCCTTTGCACTCTAAACCTCAATTAAAAAAAAAACCCTTGATCAAATGAAAAAAGAACTAATTAATAGTTCAAATTTAATAACTATATCTCCTTGGGCTTAGAAATGAGAATGAAATTTCTATAAACTCATGTTGGACTTAGAAGCCCCCTCCATTACATTGTGATGGTCCACTCTCACAAGTTATGGGTCTAGCACAAAGCTAGTCTCTCACAAGTCACAACATGGTACAAATTCTTACTGGAAGATGTGTTCACATTTAAATACAAAGGCAAGAGGAAACTTGGATAAGAAAGGTAGAACTTCCCAAGACTAGAATTAATTAGCAGTTCATTTTTTACTAACAAGCTGCTGATTGAGGTGGTAGGCAGCCATGAGAAGGAGAGCATAAGTTCAAAATTCTAAAAAATGCATTTATTGAGAGAAACAAAAATCTTTTGCGCTCTAAGCCTCAAAAAAAGAAACCCTTGATCAAATTAAAAAAAAAAAGGAACTAATCAGCAGTTCAAATTTGATAACTATATCTCATTGGGCTTAGAATTGAGAATGAAGTTTTCTATAAACTCATGTCACAACATGGTTCAAATCCTTGATGGAAGATATGCTCACATTTAGTGCCCGGCAATGTCTCTAACATAAGTTAAAAGACTAAAAATATATTTTTTAAATTCAAGAGATAAAAGGATACCTATATATAAAATATTTTCAAATACTAACATTTTTAGTTGAATTTTTAAAACAACCATAATTGTTATAAAAAATAATCATTTAAGTCTAATAATTTTAGAATTAAAAGACTAAAAGTATATTTTTTTAAATTTAAGAGACTAAACTAAAATTTTGTATTAAGTTAAAAGATCAAACGTATGATTTTATCTTATTATTATTATTTATTACGTTTCTGGACTACTAATGGGTGTGACTGTTCAAGATATCGTTGAACTACTGATAAATAAAAGCGAGTCAAACATTTCAACTCTTTTATGGCTCCATTGACTCATTTGTTCAGTTTGTGGCATACAACAAGCACTGATGCTGACTAGTGAGGACTGTTAACAGCAGCCTAAATTCATTTTCACGCCCCAAAACAGCACTTGCAAGTACAATGAACGACGCATCAGTTTGTTTCGCATATGCATATCATATTGTGTATGTCAAACCCAAATCATTTTTAATAGCAGTCCAGATTTTCTAGTTGAGCCAATAATAAAGATGTATTATTCATAGAGATCAAGCTGGTGTGAAATGTCAAATCTCAAGTATAGTATTATAGTGGGTAGGTTTTTTAAAATTAATGATCAACGATTTGAGAAAGGGCTGATCAAATGTTAAGACCAAGAAAGAAAACAAGTGAGGTAATATAAGTATTGCTATTTAAGCTTAGATTCTCCAAGTGATTACTGAAAGATAAAGATTAAAATACATATAGTATGAATTATTTGTTGGGATATTTAAGAGGGTTAATTCTCCTACATCAATTGCCTGCTCTCACATCAACTTTCCCTCTCTCCCTGTCACTTCCCGAGGGTAAAAAGTACAGGCATTAACCCAAATGAAGGAAGTTGTTATAATGCATTTTGATTTCCAGAAAGCAACATGCATTGATAATCTCACAAAGGGAGGGAGATAGAGAGAAAGGGTTCCAAAGTCTCTGCAAATGACCATCAAAATCTTGCTTCGTTCATGCTATTGAGTACTAATATGTACAGTTACATGTTATACATGTCACAGTTCCACTATACGGGTAAATCATAAACCAACCATGATGCATCTTTGATGCATGCTCTTCAATAAAATTGTAAATTTTAGCTTTCTCGGTTTGAGAGTCTCCCTTTGTGTTTCATCACAACAAAACTGTACAAGTGTGTACGAACGAGGACCGGCCCCGACTTCTTAACTACAAGACTAAGACCAGTAATATGGCCACAAGGATTATAATTCTTGCTTGTTAGTGAAAAATTCGGAGATTTCCTAGCTAATGATGTATGAGTTACCATGACTTGGACCAAGATCAGGACGTAGTCGTTATTTGGTGAAATTTATAGCAATTCCGAGCATCGGATACAGTAATAGTTGATAAGCCTACTCGCGAGGCTTTCTGGTTCTGGGACCAGAGCAGATGTGAAGCAGTTCCAGAAATGAAAAGTGAATGACTGGTGCAAAATTTTTCTGAACAGAGCATCTTGCTGAGCCTTTTCTGTCTCTGATGTCGGAGCTATAAAGTATCTGTTTACAGATAAATTAAATTAAGGCACACATGACGATAAATGCAACAAATTTAATAAAATTAAGGGCAAGGCAATACCATTGAAATCTGCAAATAAGTGTTGGTGCCAACACTGAAGAATGTGTGATCAAATATCTCCTAATCATTCCTATGCCAGAATGCACTCTTAGTTGAAGGAGAATGTCATGTTACCTTGTGATGTTCTGAGAACTAATCGGGAAGAAAATATACGAGGGCTCCTCTTTCAACTCCATCTGCTTAACATATTTATTCCTGCCTTTCAAAAAATTTCCTGCAACCCTTGTCAAAAGTTCAGCACCATTCCATCTCAAGCTGGTATCATCATACGTTAAATAGAACTCTCTCAAGCACTCCTTTATGAAGAGACTGCATTGAAATAAGAAGCCAAGGAAAATTCCGAATAATCAATTGCATTAATCTTCTATCGTCAATATAAACCACCAAAGGGCTGCCAATACATAACATTTAAAGTGTCTCCTTGTAATTCCTTAAGCACAACATGGTCAAATTTATTACTTTGCTATTCAAATTTCTGCATCTTTGCAAGTTGCTTCCATCTCATTTTCTCAGTAATCAGAGTTTCAAATATTAAGGATTTGAATTTCATATCAACCTCGAATTTTTGCTAATGTACGAAGACCAAATATTTCCCAGCTTCAGCAAGCTGATCTTTGTATAAAATGCAATTACCTAACTTTGTCTAACTCTGGAGTTGTGAAAAAATTTCATGCCTGGATACCAAATTTAAGGCATTGGTATCCCATTGTTGGCACCACATCTAAAAGCCAATGTAATTGGAATCTGAATAATCTGATATTAAAAACCAAACTTCCTGTAAGATTCGATTGTTCAATGGACGGAGGGAATTTTCTTGATGGACAAATCCAGTAAAGTAGTTGATGTTGATATCTCTTTAAAGGTCCTAAATGTCCCGTAAGTGGTTTGCAATTTAATGGAAGAAAGGAAGGCACTTTTTATTTTTTGGTTTGTTACCAACAGGGTTTTATTTGACTTTGCCCTTTCATTTTGTAATCTGGAACAAATATCTAAAGCATTATGGGCTTTCTTCCATCTTAATACTTTCGAATGCCACTTGTCAACTTGCTTCCAATTCCGGCACTATTGTCAGGGAAAAAATGCACATTCATTGATAATACACTTTAGCTGTATCCCAATGTCTGCTTTTTAATTCATTGTCAATTTGGTGGCACTGGGAGTCATAGAAGATGCTTCAATGATTCTCACTAATAAGGATCAATGCTGTGTAAGGAAAATATAACAACCGGGGTTTCAGTGACATGGTTGGAATCCATCGTACTGCAATCCTTTCAGTTTTATATTTTCATTTTCCTTTTTGTTCGTTTTGGAGAATACCATATCCTCTTCCAAGTTATATTTCCTTTCCTTTGTTCTAATAAAATTGCATTCTTTCAAGTTTTAACCCAAAAAATGGTGACATAATGTAACTTCTCCCTGGCATAATATAATTAGGACATCAAGCTATCGATACCTGTGCCTTCTAAATGCCATCACAGCACCATTCAAAGCACTTCCAGCAATGTGATCCTCCATACCAACAGAATTGTTAAGGGAAGAGATTGGTTTTAAAACAATGATATCTGAGTCTAGATAGGTCCCACCGTACCTGAGCAAACAAAACTCGACGTCATTGCTGTAATACACAGATATAATTTTCACAAGAATAAAACACACGTAGCAAGTCCGCAGCCTAATCCAATTAATACACAACAGGGTTGAGGCATACACCATCAGCATGTTGACTAACTCAGAAAATCACTTAACTACTGACAAATTCTACCAACTTTAACTGGAAAGTCTTGTAGCAGCATACAGACACCTTTTTTTTCTTTAAAATCATCATCACTGATTAGAATCTGCAGGCAGCAAGAAGATCGTTTTAATTCGGATGTCTATGTCTTCATTAGAATAAACTTATGTTCAGCAGAAATTTCGAAGTAACATAAGACCTATATCAGATGTTCTGATGCATGGTTTCATTGAATGAACGACCATACCCCTTAGATAATTGATAGTTTAACGTCCATGTCTTGGTTCATGGGGTAGAGGAAAAGGTCAAAAGGAGACACATATGTTTTGGAAACAATGAAATAATTTCACAACACGTCTCATGTGGCATTTAGGAATTTTAGACTCCCGATCACAAGCAAATATGTCGAACATTCATTGTGGCGAAAAATGGAAGTGTTTAAGGGCGCAAACTGCCAAAGAAAATGAACATATAACCAGTGGAAGCAAGTTTACTTGTACAGAGCTGCAAGACGGATAAGTTCACTGTAATGAGTTGAATAGAAATTTATCTTTCTCCATTCAAACCAGATGGAAGCAAAAATGTGGGTTGGAGTATCCTTCAGCAGTTCATCAAGATTTGGCATGGCAACAGCAACTTTATAGCTGAAAAAAATAATGCTTTAGCTGAGAATACATAATCTAAACAGAAAAATTGGTCCAAAAGTAAAAGGAGGAAGGGGGAGGAAGATAAGTACCCATCATTTACAAAGTTATCTTTAAAGAAGTCAAGCTCAATTGTCTCTGAGAACACCACCACACAGGCGTCTCGATGGTGGTAGAGTAAACTCTCAAGCCCACGTTGATGCCGAACACCATACATCCAAGGTGGTGAATTCCACACCATAAACACCCTCATATCACATTTTCCCATCCTGAAAAAGGCATCCATAAATTCTGAAAATGCTAAATGTGGAGGCAACCCAGGATAGTATCCCCATCTCTTACCATCTGCGTATATATGATTAAGAAACTCAGGCCTCCTCTGAATCTCAGAGGCGACATCCTTAGAGCCACTTGAGCGACCCAGTTTGCCAATGGCTTTTTCCTCACTGCCTAGATGCTCCTGGCTACCATAATTCATGTCTTTTTCAGTAGAACCATCACCTGCATTTTCATTTAAATTCCAACGTTCGGCACCTTTAACCTCACTTCTTGACTGTCCGTCACTCTTGAAAGAAAATACATTATCTGCTCCATTTCTCTCATTGTCATTTAAAGTTCCACGCTCTATTCCTTTAGTCTCACTCGTTGACTCTCTATTACTCGTAGCCTTACATTTGCAAGCAGTAGAATTATAATTTATAACCTCATCATCATATTCTTGCAAGCCTGAATCACGGGTCTCCTTGGATCTGGCCGAAGTCTTCTGACCGAGAAATGGGGTTTTATTAAATTCATTCATCCACCACTTAAGTGAATTTCGGTCACCCTCTGTAAACCTGGCCAAGCTGAATTCATCTGGATCTTGCAGCATCAGATTGCTCATGGGGTCTAGAACAGCCCAATTGGACTTGAACATCTTATTCTTCTTCAAAAACTCGCCCTTTTTCTGGAACCAATCACCCCATCCTTCTCTTAGGGGCGAGACTCTCCTTCCCAATTTCAGCAACAGTGCGTCCTCAATTCCGGTCACCTGTGCTGCTTTCCTCCTCACGTCCTCGTCCACCGGCGTATCATCGGAAGCAAAGGCAGCCTTACTCCGATCCTCCTCCATCCGGGATCCCGCAAGAAATCCAGCACCATTATCATCCCATTCCTCTATCGTGCGCTTCTTAAAAGCCCTCCTTATACACCCACTTACGTGATCAAAGAAATACCCAGAATCCTTGATCAGCCTATCAGACCCTGAATACTCGTCTTCTAAATCCGCTGGCTCTTTTTGCTGTTGATGTTGGTCCTGGTCCACATCAATAATATCAATCTCATTGATCACGTCATCGATTTTTCCGCTCCAAGAGTCGTATTCGTCTTCAAGAAAGGGAGTGTGGAGGATGTGGGGGTGAGGGAGAGAACGGGAGAGGCGAGAGTAAAGGAGAGAGACAAAGAAAAGAAGAAGAAGGAGGGAAGAGACGGCGATACAGAGGCAGGATCCGTAAGGGAAGCGTCGACGGGATCGGAGGAATCTGAGCATTGTTGAACTGTGACCAAAGGGAGGGTCTGTGAATATTGAAGAGTTGAGTAAATTTGACTGTGAAGTCTTGAGGGCGAAGAAGGAAGGAGGAAGGAGCAGCTGCATGCGCGGCCGGTAATGCTGTTGTGCCAGCTCATCTCGTCGTGGCCGAGACAGTGAGCGCCTTTTCGGCGAAACCCGTCTTCTTCTCTAAGCCGAAATATATAATTATTACATTATTATAATTATAAATTATAAATTATTTTAATATCAACATAAAATTTACAATAACATAATTTTTTTGAGAAAATTAGAACAACACAATTTATTTGTCTAAAATTCCATATAATTATTAAAAACATAAATATCTTTTTAAATTGAAAAAATTGATAATAAATATATATTTTTATATCCATACTATAAGTCCAATTTATTGACCAAAATATAAAAACCAAGGAGGGTTGTTAAAAATAAAAGTTGGTGGTAGATTAATAGGACTTATTTATTTTTAGTTAAAAATAAATTTGTGTTTTTCATAGTTACACTTTGTATGCGTTCTTGCCAAATTTTCAAAGGCATTTTCACCACCAGTGAAATTAGTGAAGTAAAGTCTTCTACGCTTGTTAACAAAATGCGTTCCTGCCAAACCGCTGGGTGTAAGTTAATATTTAACCCTTTATGTTGATCCCCAATTGTGCCTGGTGAAATTGCCGCAATTAATGCTAGCAGAGTAAAAGCAAAAAAGAAATTGCGGCAATTTCAATCGAGTGGCGAATAAAGGCCACAGCTGGTTCTCTTTTTCTTTCTTTCTTTTCTGATAAATGAAGGTGCTTGATAGTGCAGACTGTCATTCTTAGCTTGGAAAATTCAACACACCTCCCGTCATGAATATTTAATTTATCATGTTTAAGAGGTTGCCTTAGAATTTGAATTTACCAAAATAACTTTCAATCAGAAAAATGATAGCTAACTACAGTAGCGTAAAAGAAATTAAAAATACTAATACCAGAGAAGTCACTACTTTATAACTTTGTATCGCATTCTTCACAGTATAGATTCTGTTCGATAAGCACAGTTAGCTCGCCGAATCTACAGTCATAACAGACAACCAATTCAGAAGTGGGAAACAACCGCCATGAATTAACCTTCCATGGAATGTCCTAGACAAGATAGTATTCACATGCAATGCAAACCCCATTTCCAAGTGACTTTGACAGTGCGCATTTACATCAACCAACCCCCCCAACAAAAAAAGAAAAAAAGAAAAAAGGAAGACCAACCTAAACCAATCGACCATTCCCCCTCTTTCCAAAGGTATATCGTGTTTGCAGGCAATGCCTCCATCACGCACCGTAAATTCTTGGGACAGAAGAAAGCTCCCAAAACAAAAATTATTCTTCTTTCTTTCCCTAACCTGCCTGCCCACATCGACGCTAATTCCCACTAAAGTTAAACGCTATTACTGAAGTCCAACATTCTATCCCCCAATAGCAGCTTCTCCAAAGTAACAGGGAGGCATGTCAACGTTCTTAGACATGGAAAGATGCGCCTTTCTTATTTTCAAAACCATCTTTGCATAGTTCTGAACATTCTGCTACACCACTGGTTTCTTGGGATGCACGATTCATACTTGAGCCCTTCTCAATATTAGAATTCCTCTTTTCATAGGTCAAATTTGAAGCATTCTCATTAACAAAGTTCTTTTCAGATTCAGGTACCTCTTCAACTTCAGAAAGAAGCTGCTTGCCATCTGAACTTTCTGCTACGCCACTGGCTTCTTGGGATTCATGATTCATATTTGAGCCCTTCTCAACATTAGAGTTCCTCTTTTTGCAAGTCAAATTTGACACACCTTCATTATTAGAGTTCTTTTCATATTCAGGTGCATCTTCAACTTCAGTAGGAAGGAGCTGCTTGCCATCAGAACTGTCTGCTACTCCACTGGCTTCTTGGGATTCATGTTTCATATTTGAGCCCTTCTCAATATTACAGTTGCTCTTTTCACAAGTCAAATTTGAAGCAGGTTCATTATCAGAGTTCTTTTCAAATTCAGGTACACCTTCAACTTCAGGAGGAAGGAGCTGCTGGCCATCTAGTAAAGTTCCTTCTCCAGTGTTAATGTATCCGCTAGCACCTATGACTTTTTCTTTGTTGTGTGGTTGACAAATTGAATGTCGTAATTCGGTGTCTGAAAATATAGGTTTTATGTCATCCTTGACGCATGAACCTTCCTTGTCATGAAAACCCCTGCCTTCACAAAAGGCTGAAGAGGAAGCATGATGGATGTGTATATGCTCTGGACCGTCTGACCCGTCATTTAATCCTGTCTTATGTAGTGACTGCCCTTCTCTTTGGTTTCCTTCTTCAGAGTTCACACCCCTAGCCTGATCACTTGTGTCTCTAAAATGTTTTTGAGAAACCAAATTCAGCTCTTTACAATCTATTTTGAGGTTTTCCTCAGTTCGAATCACAACCTCACAGCTTTTACTATCACCCTTGGGCTCCAAATTTTGAAGTGACAAAGATGCTTGTAAATTTTGAGAAGAACCAAGACTGATGTCCTTCTTGTCACCAGGAGTTGGGCCCTTACTAAAATTTGGACGGATCAACCTTCTTTTCTTTTGCTGCACAGTCCGTAAGTCATCACTCCTTACATTCTCATCAGAGCCTCTAATCTGAATTTCATTATTCCTCCGTACCTGACTGCGGCGCTTGAAATCCACAAAACGTGTACCTTCATCTATTTGATTAATTTCACTGTCACCTGCTGCAATCATGACACCCATACTCGTATCATCCAAGCTGTTCCCAGAGGAAGCTTTTGATGACCCTGAGCTTCTGATTTTTCTATCCCCCATACTTTCAGCTTTGTCGACCTTAACCCATGGGTTAATCTTTCTTTTGATCCCCCGATGGTTGCGACTCTGTCGAACCATGTCCATTACTTCATCCACCGAATCCAAGGAGACATCATATCCCCTGTGGCTGTGATTGCTTCCATATTTTTTGTTGTTAAAAGGATGCACAAAACATAACCGAGAAAATACACTAGTTTTGTTCTTATAACCAGAATAAGGACTTCCAGAATTTACATAACATTCAAAATCATGATCATGTTCATTTAATAATGGATCATCATATTGGCTTTGAGAATGACCCTCATTTCCCCAAGGCATAGCAGAAAATGTTTCACTGTTCTTCTGCAATGTCATTTCATCATGACCCAGGTTTTCTTGCAATGCCATGGGGCAATAATCATTGCTTGAATGTGTATTGTACTTGTCACACAAGGAAGCATATGGCTCAGAACTCCAGCCACTGTTTCCAATACCCAAATGAGGGAAGAGACCCGATGATGACTTAAAAGGAGAGCTGTCAAAATCTTCATATTCAACAGGTTTAGTTGCAAGCCGTTCAGAATTCTGAGCTGCACATAAGGTCATGCTAGTTAAGTTACTTTCAAATGAAACAGGGTTATTAAGGCCATAACTGCAACCTTGAGATTGGTTTGCGTCTTTCAGCTCTGCATGAGCGTAAGATAGCTGATCATCCAGAGAACACATGATATTTCTTCTATAATTGTTTGATGGAGAAGCACTTACTCCCATTGGCTTAGAACTATCATTAATACTAATCCTAACAGATGATGGCTGCCTAGTATTAGAAGCAGGGGCATCAGGATCATAGAGAAGGATGCTCTTGGAACTTAAATTTCCTTGTGCTACGCAAAATTTGTCTGAGATGGGTGCGTGGATCAGGTGAGGCATAGCAGAAGTTGCCACGAGTTGATTTTGAACCAGAGAATCAGGATCTAACACAGGATTACTTGAAAAGAAAAACGAACTGACATTGGAATTATGTAAACTAGAAGTATCATCCAAAAATCTCTGACCATGTGTTGTTTTGTGGTCACTCAATAGCCTCTCACTCACATGTAACATATCATCATGAACTGTGGCTGCACCAGGAAAGTTTCCAGATAGACCACCTGAAATAGCTGGCCTGAGCTGCATGCTTATAGAATGTTCTTCATCATCAACTTCTCCAGTGTAATGGAATGAATCTCTTTTGTAATTATGCATTGTCAATGGTAAAGTGCTAGCAACTACATCTTGCTCATTTTTAACTATTTCTGCATGCATGCGACCGCCAACGGATCTTCCAACTTTACCCACAGGATAATGATCAGGTTTCACTTGTCTCCCAGGAAGCTTTCTCTTGCTAAACAAATCTAGAAGTCTATGAACCTACACAACAACTTTAAAAAAATGATGACATATATATTAAAAACAATTATTTCAAAACAATCTAATTATGTAAAAGGCTAGACCTGTTTTTCCGATAGCCCCATGTGGAACTTTTTTGCTGAAAAGTAATTTTCTCTGATTGCATCCCGAAATTTACTTTCTTTGAGTGGCTTACAGTCCCAAATTGGACTAAATTCAACCTGTACCAAAAGATCAAAACTAAATCAAGATCAACATACTGATCAAGCATTGAATCTTCCCCTCAAATTCAAAAGTGAATCATTCCCTCTTATTGCAGCTCGATAAATGACATATGAAGATTATTACCTGAGCAGGAAATTGCCTCCCTGATGAACTGAATGCACTAGGCACAATATTCATGGCACCATCACTAGATGACTTATATACACCATACAGCTCTCTGTTATCATAGTCAAACAGAAATAAAAGCATTCCTGCTTTAACCTGTTTTACAAATGGCATCTGACTAGATGGGAGGCCAAACAATCTTCTTTGGAAACATTCTCGCAGTGTTGCCCTACTTGTCATAAAAATTGCACCAAAATCCGGATCTCTTCCAGCAGCATATTTGTGCTTACCATAAGACTCCATGGATACGGAATATCTTCTCTATAATATACTGTTACAGTGGGGAAAAAACATATAATAGGCTCCATGATTTGCATTTTTTCCTTTGCTATTTAACAAAACAATATTAATATTAATTTTGCACTTAACTCCAGTTTCAATTTTACAATCTTCCCATTTTGCACTTCATTCCATTACAACATTGAACAGTTTAAAGGTCAAATTTAATTAGAAATGAACTTAAAATTCAACAAGTGTCGATACACATTCAGTTTCTGATCTTCCCTCAAAAGGAAAACTGCCCATAATTTCACATTTAAAGAGAAGTAGAATCACAGAGAATTTTCAGTTTCTCAAACGCAAGAACACTAGACAGCAAATTTCCCCCTAGGATACGAGTGAAATGGCGGATAATGGTTTATAAAACCATAATACAACTACTAAAATATAAAAATCAGTGTCCGTTCTGTTTTCGGTGAGTGTCGTTAAAATACACTAAATTTAAAGTTTTCTTAAACATCAGACAAGGAAAAAAAGACTACTGAAGGTTCAACTTAATCACTAACAACCACTAAAACATTACGCCGATTAATAAAAGTATTTTTAAAAAATAATTTATTCTTCTGGAACTTTCCGACTGGAGATAGTAGAAACCGCGAAAATAACCGAACGCAATAAGCAGAATCATCAAACGAAACGATCAGGCAATGAACAAAAACTAAACACGATTAAAATCGATCCAGAAACATAGGGGGAAAACCATCAGTTACTTGAACAACCTGTAATGTGGAAAGAAAAAAGAAAACACAGAAAAAAGAGTTAGGAGAGAAAAATACTAAACCGATGGTGCAGGAGATTTCAGGGCTAGTCCGATAATGCGAAGCGGAGTGTTGAAGACGAAGAGGGCTTGAAGCAGAAACCCGCCTTGGGCTGAGATGGTTTCCGAGGGAGAGCCGAGAGCGTTGCGATTATAGAGAGAGAAATAGATTTTCTGTGAATGCGACTGCGACGTGGATGTTCGCACTTTTTACTTGGCGTTTTGAAAATTCCTGGTTTTTTTTGGGAAAATCACAAACACAGATCCTGAAATTTGAAAAATACAAATAAAGACCTATGACAATTTTACTGTGAGTATGGGTTTAGGTTTTGACAACTTCATAACATATTATTATAGTCAAAAATTAGTGAAGTTGTTATGAGTCTCTATCTATATTTTTTAAATTTTAGAGTCTTTAATTGTAATTTTCTCTTTTTTCTCACACTTTTAGGCTAAATTATCTAAAATTCTTTTTCGGCCAGCTTTAACTATCCAAAGTTCCTCTGTGTATTGTGCATAAACTTGATATTATCATTGGCTTGCCATCATTGAGATAAATACCTTTATTTATTTTCCTAGAAAAAATTAGAACCATCCCATCAACTCATGCTAAATTGCAATAGCATGCCTAATATCCTCACTGTGTGTTTGGTTGGAGGGAAGAATGGAGAGAGGAAAAATAAGCTCATCTACCTATTTGGTTAGAAATTTTGAAGGGGGAAACTCCCTCCCATACCCCATTTTGGCTTCCCTTAAATTTGTTTTTTTTTAGGGAAACCAAAATATTAGGCCATTTTGTTCTCATGTTTTTGTGATATTTCATTAATACTTATAAAATATATTATTATAAGGTTTATTTTAAATAAAAATATATTATCATAAGAAAAAATTAAAAAAATAAATATTATAATAATTAAAAATATATTATAATAAAAATTAATTTAAAATAGAAAATATCACAATAAAAAAATTATATTATTACAAAATGAATTAATTTTTACAAATATATTATGATATTAATTAAAATATATTTTAAAGTTGGGAAAAAATAATAGAAAAAGAACAAAAATTTCATTTTTTTGGAGCATATAAAATTTATTAATTTGATTAATTAAATTAAATTATTATATTTATTAAAATAAAAAATTACTTTACTAATTTTTAAATACACATATTAGTATGATAAGATTAAATATTTATTGAATTATATAATTTGAAATAACATGCAAATGAATTTATATAATATATAAATAAAAATATAAACTAATATGTTAGGGTAAAAGAGTAAATTGATTATTACTATTCCTCCCCTTCCTTCCTCTCTTAAACCAAACAAGAGATTATTAAATATCTTTTTTTTTTGAAATCAAACCAAATAAGGTAGAATAAAAATCTCTACCCTCTCTTATCCCACCCTTCCCTCCCTTTCCTACCCTCTACTTAAACCAAAGAGGCCTTTAGGGCAGAGGAAATGGAGGGAAAGGAAGGCAATGAAAAATTTTTATGAGCTTGATTAGAATATTGAAAAAGTAGGGTTTTAAAATTTTAGCCAAGTAAGATATAATATAAAAGTGTAATAAGAATTAATTAAAAGTTTTTAACCCCACTTTTTTAATTTTCTAAATCAAGCTTACTAAAATTTTCCCTTCACTTCCTTCAATTTCTCTCATACCAAATGTACCCTTAAAAGCTCAATTGAATTTAAAATTCTTTTACTAACAAAACATAAGATGTTAGCGATAGAAATCTCTTGTTCTCTTTTCTGGGAAGATAATATTTTAAACTTTGAGTTATGTGTTATTTATTATCATTATTATTTTATATTAAATACATTTGTTTGGAAACGAATCCTTTTTTGACAATGAGAAACGAATCCTTTGCTTGTTGGTAATATATGATTTATACAAACTTATAAAGGAAAAATCCCACAAAAATTTAAAAATACTAAATTTCAAATTAAGTTTAATAACAACACTTTGCAAATAACAACACATTTTTGTAAAAATTTCTTATGTGGGATTTAGTGATTTCAAAAAAAATTTGTGGGATTTTCCTATTTATAAGTTATAACAAATTATTATGTATTATATATATATATATATATATATATTACGAGAAATGCTACCCGTCTTTGAAATCATATGTTAACGTGAAGAAATGTATCATTTATTTTTAAAAAAATGAAATATATGCGGGAAGACTTATCAAAAATAATTGTCAATACAAAACAAATAGCTTAAATGGTAAGAACTCTCATTTCTCTGACAAATGTTAATAGTTTCTAATTTCTGTATAAAATAAACTTAGTTAAAACTTAAAATGGATTCCTTTACATTTTATTCTCTTCAGTGGAGTTAGAAAAATAAGTTTAACTTAAGATATTGTGCATTAAATATAGATACCTCTCAATAAATATTCAAATCTTGGTTTGTCACGTTGTGAAAAACTTTTTTTTTGGTTAGATTCTATCTTGTTGTTAGTCGGTCTCCTTACTCAAAATTAACAAGTTTTAAGTAAAACGAGTCTATTTTGTAAAACATGCCAAGTTAACATGTGGCCGTAAAATAGGTTTATTTACTGTTTAAAACAAAAACAAGTTTGCATGCCAAACAAAGACAAGTTTATCTATTACAACCACGCTAGTCATGAATACATGCTTATATGCTATCATCCTCTCCGTCTTCCTCCTCACTTGATCTTGTTTACTTTTGCAGTTTCTCCTCTAAAATAGGATTCACAATCTTCAGAAATCTAGTCATGATCACAACATTATTCTAATACATGTCAAGTTAGTGTTTTGCCCCTCTTTTACTCTTAGGATGTTTAGATTAATTTTTTAAAAATGATTTTACAGTATACTAATAATTGAGTCTAGAAATTTGACCTTTTTTGACGGATTAACTTACGCTGCCCCGCTAAAATATGAGCACATGGCAAGCTAGCTCGTAAAAGACAAGTTAACCTGTTTCTCGTGCTCTATTTCTTAAGCCATCTATCATAAGAAAATGATAATTTTGCCAAATATATATATATATAATGTACCAAAATACTTCACCAGTTTGATACGTAATTAACTAATTTGAGTAGATTAAATATATTCGTTGAATTAGTTAATATGATATATTTTTTCTAAATCACCCTATTCATCTTCCTTAATTCTATTCCTCCCTTTCCTACTTGATTATTGTTGAGAGAATATTAATATTATTAAATTTGGAGAAAAATTGACAAACATGTGAAATAAGTCTTACATATATAATCAACATCAATTCTCAAATTAGGTCATATATTAAAAACTGGAAAATTATATATACATACATATATATATATATATGGAGGTACATATTAAAGGAAATCATGCGTTTTGTGTTGTAGTTTCTTAATTCCGAAGTCAAAAATAAAATATAGTATAATTTGACAATATATCATAGATTTATTAATATATTAAGTTTATATTTATATTATCAAATATCTTAATAAAATTATAATATGCACAAACATACATAAAAAGGAATCACTAACAATTAATTATTAATTTATAAAAATTGTGAAAGTTTTTTCAAAAAGTAACAATTTGATACAATTTTATCAGATTCATTGATAATAAAATTATAAATGATTATTTTTTTTAATCATTTTACATTAGAAAAATAAATTAGTATTTTTGGGGGTATGATCTATTCAATGGTCTTTTTTCCTCCTTCATCAACTTATTTCGAGTTATAATCATATCAGACGGATTATTTTACCTTTGTAGTATATCGCACCAGAAAGCAGCGCCAAAGCCCCCAAAAGGGTGACAGTTGTTGGAGAACAGCTTGGTATTGCACTTATCTAGTCATTTGTGATCTAAGCGTCCCTTAGCTTTTTTTAATGTGTGTGATTTTTTACTTTTTAATAAAGTTTGATGTTTTATTATAAAAAAGAGATCAAGAAAAAGGACTAGCCAGTAGCTACCGTTTTAAAAGAAAAGGACTAGCTATCCCGTGCTTTTGTGGTTAGTGCTGGTACTCTGAAAGTAAAATAAAGGAAAAGAGCAAAATTACAAGGTGTGCCGCAAATCAAGCAGTACGTTCCTGTATCGTAAGCACAATGGAAATCCAACTTCAGGTGTCCATTTTTCAGTCTTGCATGGACCATAGTTCTACCTGACCAGTCTAAGGTCACATTATTCTTACAAATTCCTATCAGCAGAAGGCTCAAAAATCCTGTTCTCTTCATATGGTCCAAACCTTTCACTTGGGAAGGAAGCAGGTGGACATGATAAGTTCTTCACAAAATTCTCGTGCAGATGCCCATTCTCCACCGTGCCATAGCAATCTAGCAGGCTTCAAGTCTCTCTTCTGGTTGGGCCCTGTAAGAGAATCTTTCTTCTTCCTCGTCTCCTCCATTCAAGACATATCCTGGCTTCAAGGCACGATTTGATTAGTTTAAAGCTTCCTCATTGTTCCTGAGCTCCCGAATTACCATTGAACTAACACAAGGTCCTCGTTCAGAATTTACAGCATCGACTGGTGGAAGAGAACTTTGGCGCCAGAGTATGCAGTTTTGGCATCATCTGCATGAGGAAAACAATTTATGAATATATAAAACAGAATTACTTGAGGCATTCATATGAATTTGGTTATAAATAAAATACATAGTTTGAAACCTTACGTGCTATAGCAGCCAGACTGATAACAGAAGGGACGTTAGCCTCAACCTCAACAGCAGCTTTAGCAACCGCAATGCCTACAGAAATACTCTGCATAATATCTAATCCCGCACAAAGTGATGCGAGTGTTCCACCAACTAAACAATCACCCGCACCAGTAAGCCTCACTACTGATGCAGGAAGTGAAGGAAAATGAACAGCAGAAAGACGAGAGCTTCTATTGGGCTCTGAGACATCAAAACACGAATTTGGTGGACACTTCTGCATGATGGTCTTGTATAACTTTTCACCAGACCCACTTTGTGTGGTTTTATTCAGAGGACTTTTAATGTGTTTGGGCCCTCCTTTACTGCATAAGATCAACCCTTGTGAGCCAAGGGTCAAAACAACCACTTTAATGCCTTTCTCTAGCAGAACCCAGATTGCTGGTTTCAGCATATGAAACAAAGATACTGTTGACAGGTTATGATTGGCTTCAAGAGGAGAAAACACATCAGCACCCAATAAAGCATTTGCCATGGCAATGAGTTCATCTTCATTAGGAGAAGTATAAGTCACCTATAGAAAATGTCTACACGTCTCAGAGAAGCAATTTGATAAAGCAAATTATTATTATAAGACATAATTGAAAATTTTAAAGTAATTATGCTAATAAACTTAATCAAGTATGCCACACAATATAGAGTCCCAAACATATTTTGAGTGGATTCTACCGAGATTCGAAATCACTGCATATCACGTAATGATAATCTGGACAATGAAAACGATGGCTGTTGACACTACAAAAATTATTTATGACTATTACACTCCTTGAATCTTCAAAAATTCTTTCGACCAAACCATTTCAAGAAATGTTGAAGAGAAAATAAACATTGTATAAAGCTTAGCACTCACATGCTTGACAATTGAAGTAATTCTTTTGGATTTGGTGACTGACACTGGCTCAAACCAGACAGGACACCCTGAATCCGCTGCTACTGAGGAATGCCAATATTTATGCAAAGAGATGAAGTAGCATCAGCATTTATAATTCACCAAACCAGAGAGGCAGACAAGAAGAGAATTAGTGGTATAGCATCATGTTATGTACTTTTGCTAGACGCTTGTAGAGAAGGAAAATTCAGATTCGCATCAACGAACAACAATGGAGCCGGACGTATGGTGCTCTCGAAGTGCAAGATCCAGTCTGGCGTCAAATATTTGTCCTGTAACAAGTAGACTTTATAGGCTTTCTTTTTCCTGCTCTTTTTAGTATAACTATTGTCATTTTACAAGCATATTAAGGAAAATCTTCGGGTTTTGACAAGTTTGGAAGATACTTGATAGCATAAGACGTGGGAAGAAAAAAAAAAAACTTACAATAGCTTCCACACTAGCAACCCGCTGCCACTTCACCATTAGCATCAAATATATTGCAAACAACGGGAGTCTCAATGTTACTGTTCTTCAAAATACCTACCTCAAATTCAACATGTAAAATAATAAATCATTAATATGCTTTTTAAAATTATTTTTTTCCAACAAACCCAAAGAAAAGAGAAAGTTGGCCAGCTTCCAAGGGAAGATTACAGGAAAACTAGAGAAAAAGGGAACAGTATTACCATGCACATGGTTATTAACATATCTATATGATAAATGGTCATGGAGACAAGAGATCTCACCTTCTATAGAGAGTCCAGCAGACTTCCACTGTTCCAACAAAAGATTTCCTAGTTTTAAAAAATTAAAAAGAAAAGAAAAATTATTTTTCCTTCAATGAAATGCTGGGACGTGTGTGTGTTTCAGGTTCAAATAAATTAAGTTTTTTTTTGTCAAACAAACAAATTAGTTTACACGTCTAAAAATATACAACTTGTGTTCATGGCCAATTCGAGTTGAGCCTGTAGATGTAGTAAATCCTATAGATTTTAGTGGCAATGAAAAATGAAAGTTCAATGATAAAACATATGCCTGCCATGTCAAGCCCTATAGCACTAATCATGTATGGCTTTGCTCCTAGCTTTGACATGCATTCTGCCACATTCCTTGCTACGCCTCCCAGGACATAACGGACCTGAAAATTCTCTATTAGATTAGGTTGAAAAAGAGATCATGAACAAAGTGAAAATAAGAGAAACTAAATCCTCGATTAGCTATGAAATCTGATATTCCATCATCTTCATTAGCATAATTGACTTGAAAATAACCACTGAATCATGAGTTCATATCTTTCTAATAGACAAGAAATGGAACACTTTCATTTAAGAGGATTGCATATCTTCATGACCACATTTAAACCTTTGAAATTGTGTACATACAAATAACAATCGCGCGGAGAGAATAAAGAACAAAGGAAGAGTAATGCTCATACAATAGTGAGCAGTGAGTAAATTCTTTGACGAGAGGAATACGTAACTAACCCTGCCAGGAGTGGTAGTCCTTGGGTTTGCAGGCATAGAAGGGGTGGCATGAATATCCAACACCATGCCCCCAATTATTACTGCCTCTGCGCCACGATGTTCCATTTGCCTACCTCTTACCCACAACTTAAAAAACAAGAAGTAGAGATTATAGAAGCTGCATGGGAAAAACAGATACAAAGCATAAGCAAACATAGGTTCGGTGTGTAGGGGGGGGGGGCGCGCGCGCGCGTTCCTGTGAAGGACGTGAGATCTTTCCTTTCAAAAGGAAGAAAACTCATATTTGAATGGATCATAGAAGGAAAAAGAAAATGCAATAATATGAATGCCACATGTGCCTAGTGATCGACCGGTTATCCCCTTCAAATAAAATCCTTTTCACAGAGGAAATATGTCAAACACCTGTTAATCAATACCGAGAAAAGGAGACCAGCGAATGGAGAGCGTCATCCAGAAAACCAACGGAGGCAAAATGTCATTACTTTTGCAGTTTGGAGGATTTTTCATTTAGATAGTGACCAATTTAACCCTCTCATGCTGTATAAAATAAAACTCCATCTTCTTCCTAAGGATGAGAAGGGAACCACACGCGGAACTGTCCAACGAAGATTAGAAGTACATATGAAGTAAAATCCAAAGGAAAAAAGGCAGAAAACATGGCAGAAGCTTAGCCGATCGCAGAAGGAGATAATATGGTTTGTCAGTACCTGGATCAGCACACCAATGGAGGAACTGGCCAGTAAGAAGCAGAACTTGGTAGCAATAAACAAGTCAACTCTTAAGCAGCTGCCCTGCCACAATTCAATAGCTACATGGATTTTATTTCTTTCCCTTTTGTCCGTTTTTTTTTTTTTTTGTCTGCATCTTACTTTTGGAGGAAATCCAGTTCAGGTATTGTGGGGTGCACCGCTTCCAATGGATCAGTTCATCATATTATGAGGTCTTTTCTTCATGTTGAGCAGGGAATGGCGAGGGTGGAATTTATAGTCCTCCGATTTTTTGATTTCTCATAAAGCTGAGGAAAAATCATAATCATCAGGTAAAAATGTAAATGACAAGAGGGAATCTGGAGGGGAAAAAAAACACTCACATTGAGTTACTGATATTTATTATGTCAAAATTTCTAATCATACATAATTATGTTTCCTATTTTTAAAATATTAGCATTTAATAATACTTAATTATAAATTTATATGAAATAAGAAAGAAAACATTACTATGTGTGATTAGAAAATTTGACAATTAACATAATTGATATGAGAAACTTGATATAAATTTTTTTCTTTGGAAAACTGAAAAAGCACTTGGGAAAAATGTTTTCATACAAGTGAAATAAAATTCTTCTTATCTTTGAGAACAAAGTTAACTCAGTTATAAATGAAAATAAAATTATATATTCATATAAAAAAGTCTATCTCTCTAGTAGGATTAGAAGAGTAATTATTTTTTAAACATAACTCACACATTCATTATATATTTCATAAAAAATTTAAAATTACAATCTCATATTTAAAAAAGTTTTTACAGCAAGTGCTTGATATAAGTTAGGCTATAACATGACATATCAATATAATTATCTATTTATAAATGCATAGAATATAAAGTTTATAATAAGATATGTTGTTTTCTTGCAAAAAAAAAAAAGTTGTTTACAAAACATAATATCAAAAAACCACATAATCAGAGTAAGATGGTTTCTCCTTCCAATTAAAAAATATTCTTCCGGTTCTTAATATAGGATCTAATTGTTGAGTTAGTTTTAGTCTTAAATATAAGACTCATTTATCATATTTATCAGTTTTTTCTAATTTACCCCTATGATACTCTATCAACCATAATCAAGTAGAAGAAGAAGAATAGGTATTAAGAAAGATGATTATGATGTTTTAGAAAAAATGTGTCATATTTTTTATAATTAACTAACATATCTAACTTCTTTAATCTAATCAAATTAGTTAAATAGGTCTTATATTAAGAACAAAGGATTATATGTTTAAACTATTAGAGCTTTCTAGTTTGATGGGACTAAGTACCTCTTTCAAGTTTTTCTTAGATTTAGGATTGTAAGTTTAACGATAGATATATGATTTTTTTTATTGGGTGAAGAATGAAAAAAACAAAAAACTCACTCAAACCAGTTAAATGAAATATCACTTTTCCAGTAAAAAGAAAAAAGATTACATCCTGAAACCAATTAAATGAAAGGTCACTCTTCATTTGAAATCTGAAAGTGGTTGTGAACCGGGTAATGTGGGGGCAAATTGGAGCGGACGAAGACGCGGGTGTCCGCCCATCATGATCTGGCAGGCCCCACTCGCCAACTTTTGTTCTCCTTTTGTTCCCCAAAATGGACCCTCCACCTTTCACCCATTCCGTTTTATTTTTTTCCCAATTATTGAAAATTGTCTTCAAATTTTTGCTCACCCTAAGACCCTCTCTATATATTTTGTCTATCAAAATCCGAGCTCTCTATCATCCTTATAAATTCAGCAAATAAAATTATAGCTTTGCATGGTATACTGATTATTTTTAGAACATGATAATGCCTTCATATAATATATTTTAATTTGAATATTTTTTACAATTTTTTATTATTATTGTTATCCATATCATAATTATTTTTTTGCAAGTTTTGAAGTTTTTCTGTAGGAGCCAAAAAAAAAAAAAACAGGAGGCAGAGGTTGGCCCTCACCGAACACCACTCCCCCCCCAAAAAAAAAAAAGAAGGAAAGAACTGTTTTATTTTTCACCAACCCTACAATTTTCGACAAGGCGCTTGTGACGAGAGTACAGTTTCAGACTTTCACTTGGCAGAGCGAAATGGCTTCCCGACTTCTGTGGGCTTCAAGAGCTGCTTCCTACCTCAGAGTCTCTGTCTGTCACAGAGGCTTCGCTACTGGTAACTTATCCTTTTTCTTCCTTCCATCTGCCTCCCTCACTTCATCTTCATTTGTTTTCATTGATCACTTGTAAAGTGTTTGTGCATGCTTCGATTATTGATCTTGATCCATGTGTTACTAAATCTGCTTGATCTATGCTTCTTGCTATTTAACATTCATAAGCACGCACCGATGCGTACCCTCTGATCATCACTGTAAATTTTGGGAGGTTCTATGATCGGTGTGTTCTCCTGTCTCCGTTTCTCATTGTGATTTTTTATGACACTCACCACTTGTGCTGTGTTTCATCCCTGAATAGAGCGATCTGGGTCAGATTCACGCGCAGGCGGACTTTCTTGGCTGCGATAGCAACTGTTCGAACTTTATTCAGTCATGTTTTGTCGTTTTTTAACGTGCTCTGATGTTGGGAACTGACTGGGGAACAAGAATAGAGAATTGCGGGTGGGATTAAGAAAGTTCACCATCATTAGCAATTCCAATCTTAGGTTTAACTATTAGTTTTACCATCAAACCATAACTTGCGAAAAATTTTATTCTGCCGGTGTTAAGCTGTAGTATTATTGACGTACTTGATTTAAAAAAAAAAAAAATCTAAATGCGGAATTTAGATTGTTCGGCTCTCTAGAGCGTTGTTGTTGGTAGTGCTTTATTTCTTTTTTTGGCCGAAATGCGTATTGTGTAATTTACGATGAGTACAAACGGTAGTCAATGGATTGTGGCTGCACATGGTGGGTCTTGTTTATGTTTAGCTTGTATTGATTGTGATAGAAGGAAGAGAGTGACGAGTTGAGGACGAAAAGGATAGTGACACAAGAAACTAAATGTTAAAAGACCCAAAATAAAGGCTGGTTGTGTTACTACAGTTATGCAGGTATCAACGTTAATTTTAGGCTTAGCAAACTGTCAGAATTAGCATCTGCGCCTTATGACTTTTGTTCTCTTGTAGTTCATAATTTGGTATTTTCCTAATTTGCTTTCTTCTCTTTGGAGGCTATCTTATCCTCCTGTCTATTATTTCTCTCTTTTTTCTCTCCCTATTTTCAAAACACAAAAAGCTAACTTGTATTACAATAAAATCTATATTTAGATGGAATATATTCTATCAAGAAATGTATTTCATCGAAGCCCAATCATTACACTGCCATGCCAGATAATGGACTATTTAAGACTTGAGGTAATCTACCTTTTTATTGAATATGCTTTCCATCGGTCGTATGAAAGGAAGAGTTTGGACAATTATCATGAATGGCGTTTTTATTCTGTTATTTATTTATTCATTTCTGTCATCTCGGGGAGATGGGTTTTATATGATTTCTACTAATTTAGGTGGTGCATTTCTTTCCGGTGCTATGATCTCTTCCTTTTACTTTGAATATTCTGGTTGCCCATCACATGTAAATCTTGTATAATTGCTACGTTGTAATGCCTTCTGTTTTTTTTTTTTTTTTAATTAATTTATAATTTATGATCCCTTCCTCCCTCCAACAAAGGGGCAGTTTATCACATGAGTACCCCTTCTTGCGGAAGGCTTTTTTTCTTTCTATATTACATTCAGGATATTACTCTCAGCTGCTTCCAAAGGGATCAAATCTAAATTGACATGCAGAGATATTATCTCTCTTACTAATTGAGATGTCTACTCCGGATTGACTGGGCAGAACGTTGATAAACTAAGCTTTTGAAAGAAGAGCCATATAGGCACAGAGAAAGAGGGAGCAAAAATGACAATGTTGTGGACATTGAATAAAGTCTATCACTCTCTTTAGTGAAAGACCTATCAGCTTCTTGTGCTTACCGTCACATTTGTTATTGCTGCAGTTCTGAAAGATTTGAAGTATCTTGATTCCCATGAGTGGGTAAAGGTTGATGGACATTCTGCAACTGTTGGCATAACTGATCATGCCCAAGATCATTTGGGTGATGTTGTTTATGTTGAACTACCAGAAGTGGGAGCATCTGTAACCCAGGGACAAAGTTTTGGTGCAGTTGAAAGCGTTAAGGCTACTAGCGATGTTAATTCTCCTGTTTCAGGAAAAGTCGTTGAAATTAATGAGAAGCTGGAAAGCTCTCCTGCTCTGGTTAGTCTCTTTACCTTGTTAAATATTTAATTGAAAAACAGAATTTCTATTTCTTAGCCGATTAATTAAAGCAGATTACATCCACTTAAATGAACTTTTTACAACCTGCACTGAGTTGTTTCTTTTTATACAGAAACTTCCCATTCACTAACATAATTAGTATAACAAAACCAAGTTGTGGTTTTTGAAAAGACGTTTGTTGCCGGGTTTTCTCATAAGAATCTAATGCATGCACTCTTTTTAAATCAAAACATAATCAATTAGTTGTTGGGTGTTTATATCTAATGCATCACATTTTCTTCTCCTTCAAATTCCAAATAGGATTCATGGCAGCGGGACAATTCTGCCAAGGGCCATTTTAATGCATAAAGAAGCTTAAAATAAGATAAGCTAGTGGAATACTTTAAAGCTAGAAGGGGTTTTAGTGGAAGGTTCTATATATGTATGTGTATTTCAAAAGATGTTCTAGTATTTATAAATTGAAACTAAGGGAGTGTGTATAGATTCCAAAGTCCTTTTGATGAGGTGATGGTATTTATTCTAGTTTCAAATATGTTTGAAATCCTCTTCGCTTATCTGCAAACCATTGATTCAAATTTATAGACAAATTGACTCAATTTCTCATAGAGGAAGAGAAAACCAATTTTGTGTTACTACTGTGAAATAATCGCACAATATGCCTGTTTCCGAAAGATATGACAATGAATTTGTTCTCAACCCCTAGTGTTTTTGTTGGTCTTACTTTTCTTTGTTTTTTTAGGTCAACTCAAGCCCTTACGAAAACGGATGGATAATTAAAGTTGAAATGAGTGACAATGGTGAACTCAACAAGCTGATGGATTCAGATCAGTACTCCAAGTTCTGTGAAGAAGAAGATTCCAAGCATTGATGATAATCTTCTAAGGATCTTTCAGGACTGTGCATCCAAGAAAGTAGAACGTATTAATTTGGGAATCCTCAATATCGCTTCTTTTTCCCCCTCCTTTCCCCCATGTGCTTTTGCTTGCTCTTTTTTCTGGTTTCGTGAGAGCTTCAAATTCGGTGGAATAATAATTTTCACTTTTTCTCCGAGCATTCCAATTGACAGTTTGGGAAATCTTATCACCAATTAAAAAAGAAAATACGTATTACCAAAAGTTGAAGTGGCATCCCGATTTTTAGTTTTTTTTTTTTGACAGATTTTTAGTAGGTTACTTTATCGTGAATGACTGCTATTCATGCCCAAGAAAATGCCTCGAGACATTGGGCGTCAATTGAGAGAATTCAAATCCTCGAAGAAGTGATTCTAGTTTATATTTTACTATATATCAGTTTTTAGGAGGTGGTTGGGTAGCCCAAAATCATTTTTTAAAACCATTTTTTCTATAAATAGAGACAAATTCCTTTACATATATACTTAGTATATGGTAAAGACATTTTTAAAACTATGATTTTGTTTTTATTTAAACACGGTGACGTCCAAAAAAACAAAAGTGCTCATAAGGGTATATTAAAGTTATTTATCTTCATTAATTAATACGATCCATTTTCCAGAGTTGGGAAATGAGCTGATCCGATCCTGATGGGCTAAGCCCATATTATCCATGCTCAGAGTCAGGCCCATAAGCATGCGCTTTGTTGTTTTTAATATCTTTTTTAAAATACAAAATTAGTAAATGCAAACACGACATATAAAAAACACAAAGTATAAACTATAATATTAAAATTCCATATTACATCTCTTTAAAAGATAAATAAAAATACCAACTCAATGCAAACTATTCTAAAATCTAACGATTCAAATTTAAATTTTTGTCATGATGTATAAAATTAAAAAATATAATGACAAAAAATAAATAAACTTTATTTTTCAAAAACATTACTCTAACATTATAAAATTACACTACAAACTCATACCAAGAATTTTAATGCTATATTTTTAAGAAATTAAATTTATTTAATATTAAAAAAAGGGAAAAACACATGCCAGACTCCCCCCAAGTCTTAATGGACCGAGCTTATAAGGGCTATGATGATCCTAAATCCTATTTGTCATTCATATTGCGGGAGATCATTGAAGCCGAACCTATGCAAAAGTATGAGATGAATATCAACATTATAGCTTGCTTATTGTTTAATTTTAATTTTAACTCTAAAGTCGTCGGCTGGCGGAAGGAGCTTTGAGATTGCGCTGGAAGTGGGAAGTGTATTCTGACAGACCGGGTACGAGGGAAGGAAGAAAACTTCACTACCCTCTGTGACAAAAGTCAGACTTCCATGAGAATCCAAGCTCAAGTAACTCTATCAACTCAATAAAAACTGTAACAATGTCTTTCTCATTTTCTACATCCTCTCTGTTTTCCCCTCAGAAGGTCTTCTTTGCTGTAAGTATCTCTCTGGCTTGCTTCTAGTTCTTGCGTGAGGTGTGCCCTGCCTTTATGTCTGTCTATCATGACATCCATAATTTGATATTGTCGCAGCCTTGTTTTTGGAAGCAAAGGGCATATGGCGTTTCTATAAAACCATGCATTGTTAAGAGCTTTGTGGTCAGGGCAGGCCCCAAAAAGATATCTTTCGATAAAGAGTGCAGAGAGGCTCTACAATCAGGGATTGATAAGCTTGCCGACGCTGTGTCTCTCACTGTAGGACCCAGAGGTGTGTGTTTATACCTAAGACGTGCTCCTGTTTTTGAAATTTTTATTGATTACTTTAAATTTGTGATTTCACGTGGTACTCTTCCTTTTTCACGAATGGAAGAAAGAAATGAAAGGCTTATGAAGTTGAAAATGTTTTACTAGCTGTTGGTACTCATTTGTACAGTTCTACAGAGGGGCATTCGTAATATTTGTAATATTGCTTTATCCTTGAATTTCATTATCTGATAGATTTTATAGCAATTATGAACAGTCCCGGGTGCTCTTGTTGTGATTTAAGTGCTGTGATTTTGTTTTACTCGCGTCAGTTATATCGTTTCAACAGTGCTGGATGCATATGCAGCCCATCCCTCTTTTGGGGTGGGAGTTGGGCAAATTTGAGTTCAATTCTTAGTGGTGCAGAAAGCTACCATAAAGGACTAACTTGATTAGATTTTCTGGAATCCATTATTCAGAAACAAATAATAGTAGGTGTCACAATACTTAAAAGAGGCATAAGGTCTCTTGCCTGATTTTGATTCATTTTTAAATGAGTGTTCATGCAACTGAATCATTTTTAACGAGTTTTACTCAATCATGTAGGACGGAATGTGATTCTTTCTGAATCTGGGAATCTGAAAGTAATTAATGATGGTGTTACAATTGCTCGGTCCATAGAGCTTTCGGACGCAATAGAGAATGCAGGTGCCATGCTAATTCAAGAGGTTGATCATAATCGTTAGGTTTTACCTTAGTTCATACTGATGAATGATTTGGCTGGAGATGTTAACTATACATTTAATTATCTTGCTTGTAGGTTGCTAGTAAAATGAATGATTTGGCTGGAGATGGCACTAGCACTGCAATTATTTTGGCTCGAGCTATGATTAAATCTGGACTATTAGCAGTTGCATTTGGCGCTAACCCCATTTCATTGAAAAAGGGGATGGAAAAGACTATAAAAGGTCTGATTAAGTTTTTGAAGGAGAGAAGTGTGCCTGTGGAAGGAAAGGATCATGTTAAAGGTACATCTGAGTTTGATTAAAGTGATAAGATTGCCCCATAATGAAGTATTGAAATTTCTTTTTTTTTCTTTTTGGCAGCCGTGGCTTCAATTTCTGCAGGAAATGATGAGGACATTGGTAACTTGATCGCCGAAGCTATAGAGAAGATTGGTTCTGACGGAGTGATTTCTATTGAGTCATCCCTGTCATCTGAAACTTTTGTGATAATTGAAGAAGGGATGAAGGTATTGAAACCCTAGTTTATATGCTTTCTAAGATTCTGCTTAGGATTTGGGTTCAAATATTATCGTCTGCCTCTGTCTTTCCCATGTTCACATAGCCCTTCTCTCCTTGCTTAACATATTCTCTATACTGCCATATGCTAGGCCATATCCTAAGCTCCCATTCCTCACCCATGAAGATCTTAAAGTTATTTTAGCATATAATATCCTATTGTCGCTTTTTGCATATTATCATTAGAATTTAGCAACTTGAGCTTCTGTTCTTTTGCTTCTAGCTCACAGTTGAAATTTGTTTGGACCAAAAACGTAAGGAATGTTTTCTTGAATTGGGTAAAATCTTTGAATTTGCCATGTAAGCTTTTTGCTTATGTGCCCCCCCTCCCCATCAAGGTGGCAAGGCATAGAAGTAAGCTTTGTGGTGATCTGAATGATTGTTGTTTTTGTGCTTTAAATTGATGTTGTTAGTTCTTTCTTTGCAGTTTGACAAGGGTTACATGTCTCCTCACTTCATTACAAGCCAGGAGAAGGGTATTGTGGAGTTTGACCGTGCAAAAGTCTTGGTAACTGATCAGAGGATTTCAACTGTCAAAGAAATTATTCCATTGCTGGAAAAGGCTATGCAACTGAGTGCCCCACTTCTGATTATTGCAGAGGACATCACAAAACAAGTATTGGAAACATTGGTGGTAAACAAACTGCAGGGATTACTAAGAGTTGCAGTCGTCAAATGTCCAGGATTTGGAGATGGGAAGAAAGCTTTGTTACAAGATATTGCACTGATGACAGGTGCGGTTCTAGAGCATCTGATAACATACTGCTTGATTAATGTGAATCTATGCCAACTTCTTGTTGCAGGTTTTAACCTACACGGCAATTATTTGCTTGGTTTGTCATGGCCAAGAATCTTTTTCTTCCCCATAGCTTAAGTTGTTATGAAGGGCTCATAATTGGTTAAGCAAATTATTCAGACCTCTTCTAAATTTTGTTTAACATTGTACATGGTTTTCCTCCATTTTTGAAGACGCATTTTAGTCTGATTTGAAATTCTTTTGTTAAACTGCCTTAACAAAAACACATAAGAGGTTAATGGAAAATGTTTTAGTGGAAAGATTTTAAAATTAGGCTAAATTGTAGTATAACTTTTTTCCTTTTGGAATGCCAACGGCGATCTTTTGAAGCATTTGTGTCCCAGGATTTGACTTTTGCATTTCTTGATTTGTTTAGATTCTGAATAGCTAAGTATTGCTACAGTCAGTTTTGAAAAATCTTGCATATCTGGTCAAGCCACTAAAATGTTTTTAAAACCAGTTTTATCTTATCAGCACTGAAGTCAAGACTTGTCTTACATCATGTTAAGATCGCAGGTGCTGATTTTCTTTCTGGAGAATTGGGTCTGTCACTTGAAGGTGCAACATCAGATCAGCTTGGCATTGCACAGAAAGTGACAGTAACCAGTAATACAACAACTATTATTGCTGATCCTATCATGAAAGCAGAAATTCAGGCTAGAGTTTTACAGATTAAGAAGGATCTTAATGAAACAGACAATGCATACCTGTCAAGAAAGCTCGCGGAGAGAGCTGCAAAGCTCTCTGGAGGCATAGCTGTTATTAAGGTATGCAGAGTGATAAAGATGCAAGGGATTGCTTGTGTAATGATGACCTAAGCGCCATATTTTGCTAGTATAGCTTTAATTGTCCCTGGTTTATTTAATTACCGTAACTTTATGATGTTAAATATTCCTACTTGGGTATGCTCCATGTATTGCCACCGTCTTGTAACTGGAAGTAGGGAATGATCAATGTGGCCAAGTGAACTCAGTTAGCTGGATAATTTGAATTCTTGGTTCCTCTTAGCCATGATCACTATTCCTCGTGTGATTCCTCTTGAGAAGTAGAGGAAAAGAACATAGCAAGCCAAAGTGGCTCAACTAAAAAACGAAGCTGCTTACTCTCCGAGTAAACCATTAAATTGAAGCCAAAAACACAATCCTATCCAAGTTATCCAATGTTATTGACGTTTGCTGTCTGCATTATCTTTCTCTTATCTAATATAAATTTTCTTCTTTTATCTAATAAGAGACTATTTGGCACAAGTCAAATTGAATATTACCATCTCCGTTGCCAAATGCTGTTAGCATGATCTTGCCCTTTGCCTTTGGAAACCTTTAGATTTTGATCATGATGTGCCTTGTCATGTAGGTAGGTGCACACACTGAGGTGGAACTTGAAGATCGAAAACTTAGAATTGAGGATGCAAAGAATGCAACATTTGCTGCCATAGCTGAGGGGATTGTCCCTGGTGGTGGAGCTGCTTATGTTCACTTGGCAGAACTGATACCAACAATTAAAAACTCTATGGAAGATCTTGATGAGCAAATTGGTGCTGATATTGTTGCTAAGGTATGGTCCTGCTTTAGTCTCTTCTTACTTTCTATTCTATCTTTCTTATGTAAATCTCCTCTTTCATGAACATACTCAATAAAATTTTTCTGAACTGATTTCCATATAAAGTATGACTTTTTTCAATCTAAGAAAGGGGGTTGCGGAAATCTAGTACAGTTTTGAAATGCATTATCTTAGAAACACAACATTGCCATTGCTGAAAAGACATTGCAGCGATGCTCTACCTAGATTCTAGGAAAACTTAGGGCATGGGGCTCTTGCATTTCCGACCTAATTTGACCATTTGTTCTTTCAGAAATTATTGTTGGCAAATTATTTCACCTTTCGTGCTTAATTTCAATTAAACATGGTGATTTCTTTTTTCTTTTCACCCATCTTTTTCTCTATCTCTTCCATGATGAGGATCAATTCTGTGAAAAATTGCATTCCCTCTTGAACTGGTGACAAATGCATTTTGTTTTACGTAACAAGTTGCTTATGTCAAATTGCAGTCGCTTGTTGAACCTGCGAAATCAATTGCTACTAATGCTGGAGCCGATGGAGACATTGTTGTCCAGAAGACAAGAACTTGTGATTGGCGAACAGGTTATAATGCAATGACAGGTGAATACGGAGATCTTTTAAACGCCGGAATAGCAGATCCTTGTCGAGTCACAAGATGCGCTCTTCAAATTGCAGTTTCAGTTGCTGGTGTGATTCTAACAACTCAAGCTGTAATGGTGGACAAAACAAAGACACCCAAACCACCTGTGCCCCTAGTCCCTGGGATAACCCCTTGAAGAAGAACAAGACAAAGCAAAGTCTTCTTTGTGCATGTATTGCCCTTGCCTGATTCAAGGTTCAAACCTTGAGAATGCCCCTGGCCTGGTTCATACTTCATCCTCATGAAGCAATGAGGTTGATTTTTGCAATAATGGAGAGCCAGAGGTTGCTGATTCTTCCAGACTTCATGATGAAAGGAAGAGTCTGAAGCTGTAAGTGTTTGCTATCAGATTCTCCAATAGAAGCATGACACTTGACACAACCCTCATTTGGAGAGATGGTCATGCGATGATCTGTTGAAAGATACCCACATTTTATAAAATTTTAATAAGGAAACTTAGTAGCTGCTACTTAAAAGAAATTTATTTAAATTGTTGTGAAGCTCATACCTGGTGAAATGGCATGAAGAACTTGACAACGGCAATTTAGTGCTGTTCTTTTTCCTCAAGAGTTTTTTTTTTTTTGGGGGGGGGGGATATATATTTATGTTTTCTCCATAAATGATGAAATGATTGTTTATTGACTGTGTATTACCAGATGGTAAATATTGAACTTAGATTTTGGATTTGGTGCTTGTGAGAGTTATAAGTTATTCAGGTATTCTTTGATCCACAGAATGAAATTAAGAGAAAATAATGTAGATTGAAAATAATTATCCTATTTTAAAAATAAAATATAATAAAATCATTGAATAAAAATGAACATGATGTTAAGAAAAAACAAATTTGTTTCCAATTACAATATGCCAAACAAACATTTGGTTTTCTCCTATTCTACATTCTTTCGTTACCAAACTTCCTCCATAACCGAACAGGATCATTTTTTTTTTCTTTTGGAAAAATTTTTGTGGTCCTTTCAGGTTGCAGCATTGAACAATATAATGGATTGAAAGTTACTATATTTATCTAGTCCTTTCAGTTTCATTAAGATCTTTAAAGGACCACTTTCTCATATTTCAGTCTCACAAGTAGACATTAATTGCAGACAGTCAAGATGTTGTGAGAAGAGTAAAGAATAGAGATGAAAGGCTTATGGCTTTGGAGTAACGAATCAGACACTCATTGAATCTGTCAATAGGCCTTGACTTGGTTTATAAAATTGACATATTCTGACACAAACAAAAAAGATTTTAATCTTGGTTTTGCAGAAACACTTTTCTTCAAATTTAGATAACTCATCTAACTTCTCTCCTAAGTTTTAGTCATTACCTGAAAGGCTGAAAGGAAAAAACAAACCCTCTCAAACCATCACCCATCGATTTAAGATTACCTAATTTAGACCAATTCAAAATAAGCGAAACGGATTGAGAGAATTGTTTACAAGAAGTAAATTTAGAAACTACTCATATTTTAAAGAACTCTTTTTTTTTTTAAGACTGCATGAAAATTTGAATTCTAATAATCTCATTTTTATATCTTGCTCCTCATTCACCTTAAAATAATTCCTTTGACAATAATTTTTTTATATATAATACCATATAATTATATTTTAATAAAGTTTGTAGTAGGTTAAATGAAGAAGAGAGATAAGAATCTGAACAACTACCAATGAATGCTCACTGAGGTTGTTAATGTGTGTGGTAAGGTGCACTAACCTGAGCAAGATTATGATAATGATAATCTCTGTTTGGTTCAGAATCTAAACCCCTTTTTTGTTCTTAATTTGTATCTTTATAATCACCCCTACCTTTTGGTTGAGATAGTGACCCATCACTACACACACACACACTACCTCTCGTTCTTAATATAAGATCTCATTTAACTTTTATTTTGGTCTTAAATATAAGATTTCAATTCATTTTGTCTCTAATATTTATGTATTTTTTCCTAAGATAATCATTCTAATAATGATAGTTTTAGCCAACACACTTGATTAACAAAGATATTTTAGGAAAGACAACACCTATTTATTACAAATAACTAATTTAACTTGTTTTCTTAATCTCTTCAAATTAGTCAACTAGTTCTTATAATTAGGGTCAGAGGTACTATAAACCAAACTAATCCTTAGTCTTGCTTTCCTAACCAAGAGTCTTGGAAGGCCTTGTTGTTATTCAAAACACGTGCATGCTTTTTTCCCCCAGATTTCCACACAAATTGCTTTTTTTCAACTTCTGGGTTAACAATCCAGTACAGTGGAAAAGGAAGTGATTATTTCTTGATTGATAATTATGGATTGAAATTTAAAAAAAGAAGGAAAATGAAAAGAAGAAGAAATGAAATGATGGTGGCTTGATGTAAGGAATAAGTATGCTGGCCACTAAGTGAGAGAAATGCTTGCAAGATACGCAGCTCTGAGGGTGGGTTTCAAAAGTTAAATAATAACATGAACCACCTATTACACTATAGAGTACTAGACTAAGTATATTAATTAATTAGCTAATGTTCCATAATTATATTACTTTTATTAACATTTCATAATTAATAATGGTCCCCACCACCCACTTCATCTTACCATCTTTTCCTTTCTTGTACCAATTAATTAGTAATACCTGTTTTTAATATAAGACTTTATTTGAATTTTATTTTGATTCTAAATACAAAGTCTCAATTCATTTTGTTTTTCATATTTATCTATTTTTGTCTAAAATAATCCTTCTAATAATAGTAGTTCTAGCCAATAAATTTGATTAGCAATGATATTTTAAAAAAGACAACGTTTATTTATTACAAATAACTAACTTAACTTATTTTCTTAATCTGCTTAAACTAATCAACTAATTCTTATATTTAAGACTGAGGTAGTAATTACTACACATTTGCTGCATCCAACCGCCGAAAAAAGAAAAACGAGACTCTCTGTGTATTTGTTTAAGATTCAATCCTAGGATATGTACGTGTATGTACACCTAGTACTGTAAAATACCAAATCATGGTGATTACTTTCTCTCTCTTTCTTTTATAACCATCATGCTCATTGGCAATATAATATATTTCGATATTAAATGTAAGAGTTAATTAGAAAGTTTATTTTGATAATAATTTATAATTTTTTAAACTATACATAGTTTCTATCAAGGATTAATTCCAACACAAAATATCAAAGAGGATATTTTAAGAAAATTAACATATTCCTAATATCAAAGGTAATTGAGAGTTAAATTTGATTCTAAATATAAAACATTAATTTATTTTTTTCAAATTGTTTCAATTGATTGCACACGTCAAAATTTTTATATATAAATGAATTGTTTTAATAAAAATGATTTAAAAAGATATTTTAAAAAAATAACTATATTCTTAACAAATAACTGATTTAATTATTTTTTTTAATTTATCTAAATTAGTTCAAAAGATTTTATGATAACAGATATAACTAATTTAACTAAATTTTATTATCTCTATAGATTACTTGCCCAGTTAGCCATTGGAGGGAATATTTTATACAGGAAGTTTTAGAAACTGCATGCATATATTGGACATTAACAAAGTGAAAACGTTACAAATAGTTATATTAATTAATTTTTGTGTGGAAAAAAAAGGCTCTTTAATTAGTTGAAACAAACATTTCTGACAAAATTAGCTGGGATGTATCTATAAGAAAGCGAGAAGACTCAGTGCGCGCACGTCGTGTCCGTCGTTCCCAAAATAGCCACCTCAAACAAAGAAAGGAGGAGAAAGAGAGAAGGAAAACGGCCGAGTCTGATCTGTAAATTTCATTAATTTATGTTTTTTTAATCGTTTTTACATTTTTTAAAACTAAAGCCTGCAAAAATATTCCTGCAAGGAAAATCCAGCTCCTGCACTTGCTCTAGACTAACTACCCCCTCTCTAACCTCTCTCCCAGTCGAAGGAGCATCCTCTCTCAGATCTGGGAAGCTCTGCGTCTATGGTGTAATGCACTCGTGTAGTGTCCACGCGTTCTCTCATTCAACACTGAGTTCTTTTTGGCAGTGTGAGCACTAACTCTTGCTCTCCTTGTCCATCTTACACTCTGAGTTTTCGGGAAATTGTGGGGAAAGGGAAGTTACTTTATTGGGGGCAGAATTTTTGGTTCCATTGAGGCTGTGTCTTATGTTTTGCGCACCAGTATTTGGTGGGAGCTGTGGTGCTCGGTTTTTTTGCTTGGCATTTGTCTCATTTCTGTTGATTTGCTTATTCTAATTTGGCAAAATCTGGATTTTCTGTTCTGTTGGGTTTTCTGCTGCTGATCACTGTTGTTAGAGGAAAAGAAGAGAGGGGAAGGAAAATAGAATCGGGTTTAGTTCTATCTGCCTTTTACAGAGGGCTTTGCTTGATAATTGTTGCCTAGAACTCTTTAATTTGGTTCGTGCTAAGTATTGTTTGTTTTTCCCGGTATTCTTCATTGAAAATTGTGGAGTTTCCAGTGAACTTCGAAGATAATAAAGCAGGAAGGAGTTATTTATTCGCGTCTCAAGGGGCAAAAAGTAAAAAAATCGAGGTTTGTTTTAGGAAGGTTTTTTTCAACCAAATTGAACTTGGACTTCAAAATAATAAAATTGTTATAGAGAAGCTTTGGAGATCAGTTGGTGTGATTGTACACAAATTGATTCCTCAGCCGCTTGGCGTGCAGGAGATTTTAGTAGACTGATTGATTAGTCAATGGCTAAATCAAGACACCACTCATCAAACCACGATTCATCACTGTCACCGACTGCTGTAAGATCAAGAGAGGGCCCATCTAGATGGACAGACTACCTTGGTGCAGAAATGGCATCTCCACTATCTTCTGGCAGTTCAAGGAGCTTCTTCAGTGATGGGCAGGCTCATAGCACTGCGGGATCCCAATCCCATAGGGGTTTGAACATGCAGTGGGTAGTCCAACTCACTGAAGTTGCTGAAGGACTTATGGCTAAAATGTATAGGTTAAATCAGATTTTAGATTATCCAGATCCCATCAATCATGTATTTTCGGAAGGATTTTGGAAAGCTGGAGTATTCCCCAACCATCCTAGAATATGTGTGTTGCTTTCTAAGAAATTTCCAGAACACTTCAGCAAATTGCAACTTGAACGAGTAAGAAATGATGTTTAATATATTTTCAATTTTGTTTTCAATTAATTTAGGCCATCATGAATTTCATCATCTGAGGAGTGAATGCAGATAGATAAGCAAACTTGGGATTCAATGCAAGATCATGCGGAACTTCATTTACAAAGCCTTGAACAATGGGTGCAGGTGAGCTCTTTTGTTACTTTTATTTACTGATTTTTTTTCCCCAGAGAGAATACTTTCCCTCCGTGGGTTTAATTTTTTCTCTGCTTGAACTTGTAGATTGTTTGGGTTGCCATATTATCCACGCCTTAAAATTTTCAATTTAATTTTATGTTTCATGCTGTCACTTGACAAAGATTCTTATGTGTA